GCAGGCGCTCGCCATATAAATGTGAAATCTTTGGAATATCCACAAGTACCTAAGAGTGGAACTCCAGCCTACTAGTTTATTTGTTCCTCATTGCATTATGTTAACTTTTCTATAATTCACTATCGCATCTTGAAATACTCTTCTAAACATAAAATCCATTTTATTCCTTTGTGGAACGCTTTACCTTTGTTTATTCAACAAGTGAAATCATCGAATATATTAAAAAATATGATAAAAGAACACTACCTAACTTTAGTGTGACCTGAACTGCTTAGGTATTATTATATTTAAAATTATGTCTTAGAAATTTTATATTTATAGGTGCAAGAATATATAGTAGTTTATGATATACATATATATGTATTGGTTTTATTATTTATAAATATAAGTGCTTATATTTGCATTTATTTATCGATTTTCATCTATTCATCTCACACCGCCGTCGTTTTCCTGTGATTATATAATTACTTCCATCCAAAGGTTGTCTGGCAGAAATCGCTTAAAGCGATAAGACCGCCCATTGTATCACAGCTATTTTTTTTTAATTTGATTGTATTGTATTGGTTTCCTTATTTGGTGTACAATAAAGAATTTTTGTATTGTATTGTATAACGCAAGAATATCTTTTTTTACATATATTTCTCAGAGACACTCTGAGTTCAAGTTTGTAGGTAAAAACAGTACGCTTTTGCAGGACAAAGATTCTATTAACGTCTGCGTCAGTTCCCAAATCAAGATGCCGCATGTCATCAAAGTGTAGAAGTAGCTAAAATAATTAATGGAATGGTTTCTACGTCTTTTTTTAATTATTTACACTGCAGAACCGAGCCGTTTTGACAGCTACTTTTGGATTCTAAAGTTATACTTAAAAATTACAACCGTGTATACAAAGTACATAGGCTTTTTCTCAGTCTCACCTGGTCAATATTTCTAATTGCATTTACACGTGATTGTTTTTTCTCGCCGCGTGCGTAGAGTTGCGTCTGTTGCAACAATGGTCTGACGCAGTGCAACCCGACCGGGGCGCCGCACAGTGTGCCTAAATTGATAACTCTTGGACATAGGAATAACTTGTGGAGTATCGAGCTAATTTTTTTATATGATACATAATAACATTCCTAACAACTTTTATTCTTGTATAATTTCTTGAAAAGTTGATAGTTTCGGAGAAAAAAAACACTTTTTTTTGTATGGATAAATATACATTTTATTTTTTATTTTAAAATATACCAAAATGTAATTGTGCGTGGGTTACTTATAGTATAGTTCCAGTCATTTTCTTTGTAGAAAAAATAATTCATCTGTATGTACTTGCGGCCTTGTAAGTAAAGATGCGGCGAAATTGCTAACTCTTTTATGTAGTTTTATAACGAAATATATGAGCTTCGACTAAAGAAAAATTAATTTGAGTGTAATTTAGAGAGTGTTATAACAATAACACGAAAAACTAGTACATTGTGTTAAAAAATAACGCACATTACATTTTGGTATATTTTGAGATAAAAAATAAAATGTATATTTCTCCATACAAAAAAAAATTCTCTAAAGCTTTTCAAGAAATTATACAAGAATAAAAGTTGTTAAAAATGTTATTATCTATCACATAAAAAAAATTAGCTCGGTACTCCACAAGTTATTCCTATGTCCAAGAATTATCAATTATTATTTAATCTAGGGAACAATTTTAGGAATACAGAGCTGATTTTTTTTATATGATAAATAATAACATTCCTGATAACTTTTATTCTTATGTAATTTCTTGAAAAGCTTATTGTTGCAGAGAAAAAAATTTAGTTTTTTTTGTTTTGGTGAAATAAACATTTTATTTTTTATCTCAAAATGTAGGAAAATGTAATGTGTGTGGTTTATTTACAATATAGGTCTAATCATTCTCTATTAAGGAAAAAATAATCCATTTGCAGGTACTTGCGGCTTTACGAGTAAAAAGATGTCAAAATTCTAGATTTGTTATTTATTTTTTAACACAATATACTAGTTTCTACTTAACTTTCATGTTATTGTTATAACACTCTCTAAATTACCCTAAAATTATTTTTTCTTTAGTCGAAACTCATGTATTTTGTTAAAAAACTACATAAAAGAGTTAGCAATTTTGCCGCACCTTTACTTACAAAACCGCAAGTACATGCAGACGAATTATTTTTTTTTACATAGAAAATAATTGGAACTATACTGTAAGTAACCCACGCACATAACATTTTCGTATATTTTGAGATAAAAAAATAAAATGTATATTTCTCCATACAAAAAAATAATAATTATTTTTTTTCTTCGAAACTATCAACTTTTCAAGACATTATACAAGAATAAAAGTTGTTAGGAACGTTATTATCTATCATATTAAAAAAGAAATAGCTCGATATTCCACAAGTTATTCCTATGTCCTAGAATCATCAATTTGGGCCCACTGTGCGCCGCCCGACACTGGCGCACCGCGCCGACGGCATGTTCACATGCAAGTTGCACTTGCGACTGTGCAATGTTACGCTTCTATGGGAAATTATGTAGGTAAGTAGGTAATTACGGTTTTCTCGCGTTTGCAATTTTAGTCGGCACAGCTTGGTAAAGGTAATGATATAACTATGGAGTGTAGAAATGTTGAGTGACTCAAATTGGGACAGTGTGTTCATTTTGCAAAGGAGACACGCGCCCAGCAGTGTAACGTATTTAGCTAAATACGGGATATATTGTGAGATACGTAAATTGAATGATATTTAAGGTATTATTGTTTTCATTTTATGGTAATTTCCTATTTTTTCAATGTTGACTTGAAACTCAAGAAGTTAATTACCTAGTGTTTTAAACAATTATAATAGTCCACACAGTCAGCCGGGGCGAGGGTGCTCTGCGACCACCACTCACGCCGAGAAACCATTTCAAGATGCATTTCCAGACAGACTATATTATTGGAATACGAGAGATCAAATATATTGTAAGTAGTCAACGACTGAAGTATGTGCTTATGAAACAATGACGTAGAGTAGTTGATAGTTATCTGCTTTTACTTTTATTTAAATACATTTTAGATCGTTTTGTTTAGTTGTATTTTTTTCCCACCGAAATCATATTTATGGATTACTAAACATGTACACACGACAGCACATGAAGCTACACATTGACGTATCTTGTTCCATTGCAATGGAGGCGATTTTCGAACAAAAATGTGTAGTCTGATGTGCCGTTGTCCGTACATCAACGCTTACATTACTATATCCCTTGAAGTGTTACTAGAAAAGAATTATTGTCTTATTCTGCGTAGAACATAATGTCTGATAAATAACCCTGATAAGATTATCTAATTGATAAGCAATTACGGCAATGCAGGTTTTTATTATTTGTACCTTAGGTATGTGTTGTATTGTTCTTAATTTTTTGGGAAATTTCCGTTGTGTTTTGATAATTATCATTTTTACTCAGGTGTATGTATATGTTCGACAATTTTTAGTGTAGGTATTCTTAACCATTACCAAATTATCCTTGTGAAAAAGTTTGTCCAGGGAAATACTGCCACCACACCAATTTCTGTAATGTAATGTGCATTTTATTAGCATTACCGCGTTCCAGTTTTAAAGGATATGGATGCTGGTGAAACTACGCATATAGGACTTGTCAACTTCAAGGGTCAGGTCTTTGCGATTTAATAAAGTTCCGAGTGGCACTGCATCTGCTAAGGGTAGGTGTGTTGCTTACCATAAGGTGCATGGCTTTTTCGTCCGTTCAAAGTCCGTCCAAATTCAATTACATAATTTGGATTTTGATTAAAACATTTTAAAATTGATTTCGACAAATGCACTAATAGATTGGTATCATATTAACATTGCACAGAGTTACTAGAATTTAAATAATCATACCCGTATGTATTTTTTTCGATAAGGTCGTGGACATAGTCCTAGATAAAATAGATCGAAAAATATATTGAACATTTTTAGATTACAAACTCATTGTTGAACAGTGCCAAATATTTAATCTAAAATAACAGTTATGAACTGTAGTAAAAAGCACATACACCACATACTTTAGTCACCTAAACAAATATTATTCTAAAAACTAGAGACTTATGTAGTTTATTTCGCAGAAATATCGAAGGCCGCCTTGCGCTTTGCAGCCCCAAGTTCAAACGGGCGATGTGAGGTCGCCTTTTATCAGTATGAGTGGGCCAAGGCCTTTTATACATGAACGTCTCAATACGACCTTCACCTCTATCAGAAAATTATTTGCAAACATGTTGTAAATACATGTAAAACCCTTAAGCTAACTTTATGTATGTCATATTAAAAAATAATGAAACGTGTGTTTTATGTTTAATAAGTCCTATAAAGTGTGCACGTGTGCGGTTCCTTGTTCCGCGTTGTTGCTTCTTAACACACCCAAATTTAACCCACGGAGGATTTTAATATCCGAACATTCTTTACTTTGAGTCCACGTAATGGTTGTTACATTTATTGCAACCGATGAACAAAAGAAGATTCAGATAAGATTATCTAAATTCTAGGAGCTGTATCAGATACTAATTAATAATGAATCCGGCTTTACTCGTTTGGGACCCGTTTTCTGTAGCAAAAAATTATAATTGTTGCGGCAAAGTCAATTCAATGTTAATCAGACATCTAAAGAAACTTGGATCATTTATCTGTTCAAACAAAAATAAACTGTATCACACAATATTTTATAAAAGCCAGTCTTTTAACCATACAATGAAAACAAATTTCAAGAACACACACTCACAACACATTGTCAATGGAGTATTTGCACTTTTGTTTAATATTTACACGTTACATTTAGAGTGATTTCGAAATAAATTAAATGCCGCGGTGCACCGGCGCCGACGCGGACTGCGACCGCCGACAGCCGGGATAACCATGCCGCTGCGCACAAGCTCCTTTCACAATTCCAGTCAAGGTCGATGAAGGCTGCAACACTAATTCTAGTCCGTTCTCCGATTAATAAAGATACTAGGATCCTATATATAAATATAGATAAAATAATAATTTTATTTTACTAAGCCAGGATTTTTTTATTTAGACGGTTTAGTGTTTGCAATAATTCTGCGCTAATGCAAAGAATGAACGGTTGATTTAAGTTGACATAAATTAACGTTTTTATTTCTTAGGAACGAATTTTCTATCATATACTTATTTATTACCTAGGACATTAGGGTATCTGAATTCATACCCGTCTATACTTCATGTATGTATTGTTCCAGTAAAACATGGCTGCGTCCTCCCACAGCGGTGCTGTTGTTAGTTGTTCATCGATGACGAGTACTCGAGGATTTGTCTTACTTGTGGGTTGCCATTGCAGTGGGAGATCAGTTGTTTGTTCTGGTGTGGGGTTGCTGAAAATAAAAAACAAACTATACTCAAATAATCTTTGTTTCATAAGTAAGCAAATTACACTTAAAAATTGTCACATTTATTAAACTTGTCACATTTATGAAACTCTAGGGGTTGCTGTTTGTAAATAAACATTTGTACTCATTTATCATTTAATAATTTCAAATTTCATGGATCAAGATAACCTGCAAGAGTTCAATGAGTTACTGCTATGGATTTTTGTCATCCTGGTAAGGAGAACTTGTAACCTTTAGTGTAAATTTAAATTTTTATTGAATTGATATTCAATTATTTTTTGGGAAATGACTCCACTAGTTTGTTATAATTATTAAGATAAAGATCGAACATTCAGAAAAAATTCCTTCGATCCGGCCGGATTCGAACCGACGTCTTCTAGCTTACCGTGCCAGACGCTATGCCAATTAAGCAACTTTAGTGTAATTTTTTTTTCACTGTAGTTAACTCGTTAAACCTCGTAAATGACATATTTTGAACATTAACCGGAATCTTACTATACAAGCGAATACATTGCCCTTTAAACGAAGAGAACTATCAAGAATAGTCTGTTAATGTTTATTTCTCGTAATAATGTCATGCTTGCATTGACTTACAAATAAATGGACGACGGGTCTAATACAAAAACCACGAAAAAAATGTCCCAAGTCAACCTATTCGAAATTTAAATTGTAATGTCATCGCAGTATCGCGCTGTCAGTAGAACAAATGAAGACTAAAGCGGAGTGTCGCGCTCTGTATACGATTTTAGCGCCTTACAAGTGCGGACACTTTTTAGCGCGGACCCGACGTCCATATAATTGTAAGTCAATGCATGCTTGTCACTATTTTTCATAAAAAATGTTAGTATATTCTTCTTATTATAAATTTTCATAAATGTGAAGTGATAATTCTAAGGTATACCATAGTATGTTAATTCCTCTAAACTTCCCTTTCAAACAAACTGGGACCCAGATTTTAAATTGACCTAAACGCACACTTTTGCAGGACAAAGATTCTATTAATATCGGTAGATTACCCTAAAGCAAAATGTCGTACATCATTAAACTGTAAAATGGCTAGCTAGCATATCGTAATTGTGTGTGTTTTTTATTTTACGTTGTTACATTTGTTTGATTAGTTACGTAACTATCGCATTAGCATGATAACTTTTTCCAGTCACATTCAGACTATTGTTGCTGTACTAAGAGGTCTGCAGCGCTGTGATTTATGTACTGATCTCAAGTCATGAAACTTACCCGGTTTTTGCAAAATTCGTCCACATCGATGTCATCTTATTGATCATTTTAGTTTCTAGTAGTGCGGTTGGTAAAGGTATCGCAGGCATGAATAAGTAGAAAAGTTCATCGGCGTGTGATGCGCCAGAAATATGGTGGAATCCCGCAAAGAATTTTGCAACATTCAGAAGACCGCTGTATGAGAATTTGTATGTGTATATTGCGTGTTTGTTAGTATTCAGCAAGAGTTCTGTCGTTGATATCACAGGATATGTTATTCCCAAGTCTCCCTCAAAACGTGCTAATTTGATTGTTATGTTGTTTTCGTTGTTCCTAATATAAGTTTCATTTAACTTTGCAGCTGTCTCCCGGGCTTCTAGTTCTGTTGGAAAAACTAAATCTCTAGGCAGGGCGGTATAAAGGTCTATTTCAGAAATCGTTGTATCATTTTCTTTACCAATAAACATGAGGCCTTCTTCGTTGTTAAAGCCAATGATCACTGGTAGTTTGGTGTATTCACCTCTGGATAACAAATTGTAAGGCGTGTCGTCAATGAGTCGTTTTATTCCTGGTAGTTCTTTTTCCAAGCAAGGCACGAATATATTTTCTGATAAAACTATGTCACCTTGTTTTCTCTGCACACGCGTTGCCATTAGGTCATGAACAGTTGTATTAATAAACAGGCTATAGATTTCTTTTGGGTTTTCCGTTTCATAGCCCAATTGTTGTGCGAGAAGGCTAGCTGCTTTTAGTGGTTCAAATTGGAATGCCCACGGTGCAATAGCAGATCCACTCTGCATGATAGCGCGGTTAAAGAGCCCTTTAGACAGTGGTGACAAAAGATGGTAAATGATTGAAGCGGAACCGGCACTTTCTCCAAAGATAGTAATATTGTCAGGGTCACCGCCAAATGCTCTAATATTTTTCTTGATCCATTTCAGAGCTTCTAGTTGATCTTTTAATCCTGCGTTTCCTGGAGCCTCTTCAATACCTAAACATAGGAAGCCTAGAATTTCTACTCTGTAGTTCAAAGTTACTAGTATAACGCCTTTTTTTACCAAGTAATTCGGTCCGTAAAGAAAAGGTGCCCCAGAGCCATCTCTAAAACCACCGCCGTGGATAAAAACCATAACTGGGAACAAAGAATCAATTTTGTTTTCTAATGGAGTGTATACGTTTAGAACGAGACAATCTTCCTCGCCAACGACCATTCCAAGCAGCCTTTGGGTGCATCGAATGTGCTCGTGGTGTGCGTCGAACACACCGGGCCATTGTGGGTTTGGTTCTGCTGCCTGAAATGAGATAAAAATCTGTTGTTATTTCTAAAATTATTATACCTACTTATTATGGACTTTGTTTATTGAAATGTATTTTGTCAGTTAGAGCTCAATACACTTTGAATCTGAAATGTAAGACTACTTTATTGTAAAATTTTAATACGTCAAGTCAATCAATCGGGAAAGTACGTAGTAAGTACCATTAAATATGCAGTTGAGCCCCTACCTGAAACCGTTTTTTGACGGTAGCATAAGGAATGCCGAGATAGCGCACATGCGAGCCGTCGCGTGAGATGAACCCGCGCAATGTGCCGCCACTCACGCGCAGCTGCGGCGTCGGCTGCTCAATTAGCACCGCCGCCCACAGTGACCACAGCACCACCCATTTAACACCACATGGACATATCATCCTGTAATTAACATGGCGTAAAGACTGTGCACTCCCGAGACGGTCACATCTGAATTTAGCAAAAAAATGGAACACAAGTTAGTCGGCCGGCGACTAGGGAAACACTGGTCGCGCGAGGGAGGGGCACCGGTGCATACAACGTCATAAAAATGCAGTCAGAAACTGCATTCTTGCAATTGCTTCAAAAATTCTTCACCTTTCGTGTTTACGACGCATGGACACTGGACATAAGGTTTACATTCAACAAAAAGTAAGAACTGAAATGTTTTTGTGGTTCATAGGTAACTCTCTTGATGTATTCAAGTATTGAGGTCAGCCCTCATTGATCAATATTGATTAGCTTTAACCGACATTTAATTACAATCAATTGAATTAGGACATCGACGGCGATGCAATGTAATTGATTTTGGCCTCATCAGTTGCCAGCTAGCGTTCAGGATTATTTACTATGCTTATATACGAGAAGTAGTCGTAATTGAATTAAACATTCAAAGTGCGTGTTTATGCAAGAAGGTGCTGATGATTATACTTCAATAAATCGTGGTTACTTGATGTTTAAGTGTTTAGAAAATTCCTTCAGCTTCTGCTTATATCAGAGAAATTTGCTTTCTGAAGGACCATTACAGTTAAAAATTGTAATTAGTTTAGTTGTCTATTATTCGCTTACTTTTCGTACTATACGCGACGAGTAGATAAATGATATCCCGTTTAATTATTGCTTTGCTACGCTTCACGGGAGTAAAAGAGACGACAAGGATGAATCTGACCTAACAATAACCTTAGTATTTAGACTTCCGTAAGAAAAAACACATATAAGGAAAAAAATACTCGGCATAATTATTAGTGGGAAAAATAATGTGACGTGGGCCGCACGCGTCTTTGAGCGTTTATTTTATCGGATCTCTGTCATAACGTCATTTTATTATCTATTACAATGATATAAATTGGTTTTAAATCGCTTCGATACAAAAATTGGATTTTGATATCCTGGATTTATACGACCTTGTTAGTCCACAAGATCGATAATAGCAAGGCCGACATCCAAGTTTTGCATGTCATTGAGAGCGGTATGATTTTTCCTCAAATGTACAAGTTTGATACTAGGTTTTGATGAGGTAAAGAGAACAATGGTACAAAATTAGTAAATTCTTAGTTACGATGTGAATAAGTCTGTGACGGACGTAAAATTGTAATATTGTGGATAAGATAAATTAGTGGTTTGTGCGAATTTCGTACCGCATTAGTAACTCGTACTGCATGTAATAATAATGTGTTTAGATAATAAAATTTCAATGTATCGCTAGGCGATAAGTAGTTCTGTAGCAGTTATTGTTGTAGAAACACGGATCAATATGCGGTGGCGAATTTCTTATTAAATCAATGGTTGAAAATCCTTAGAAAACAAAATCTGTTAATAAGATCATTGTGAAGCTGAAATAAGTATTGATGATGGCAGAGGCAAAATGAAATAAAAACAGGGATGACGAAAATACAGACTAAAAGTAGTTGGAAGTGGGTGATATTGTGGTCGTTATGGGCGGCGCGACTGGTACGACAGCCGACGCTGCCGGTGCTCGTAAGCAATGGACTCATCCGTGGCTCTATCGCCAACGACGGCTCTCACAAAGAGTACCTTGGTATACCTTATGCCACTTTTGAACACAGGTTTCAGGTAAGTGATTTAACTTTGCCTAATTATGTATTTATGAATTGTGATACAGGGCCTATCAAAGTGAACACAGTCGAATGACGTAATGCAAATAATTTATCATTACAATTTAGACAAAAAGCGAGCCAAACCAAGTCATAACCAGTTTATTTTTACTGACGTACATGGTTCACAAGTATATTGTGGGGTTAGACTCGTATAATATAACTTCCACGGTATTATTACGTTATGAAATAGACTATGTGGTAGATTTTGATGATAATTTTATTGTAAGAAAATTTTTATTTACAAAATATTCTAACTAAATGAGTTGTTTTGTTTAAATCTTGGGCCATCATGAATATTTTATTACTTTTGCAGGCGCCAGGTCCGGAACCGAAGTGGAATGAAACATTCGAAGCTGTAAACGAAAACATAAGATGTCACCAGAAAATTGTTAGCACGATTGTCATTGGCCAGGTTGATTGCCAAGTGCTGAACGTATACACCCCTCTGAACACTTCTCCCGACGATAAATTGCCAGTCATGTTTTTCATCCACGGAGGAGGATACTACCAAGGTTCCGGCTCGAAGTTTTTGTACGGGCCCGAATTCTTAGCATCAAAAGGTGTTATCCTAGTGACAATAAACTACAGGCTCAACATACAAGGCTTCTTGTGTCTAGGGATTAAAGAAGCCCCAGGAAATGCGGCTATGAAAGATCAAGTGGCTGCACTCAAATGGGTCCAAAGAAACATAAAAGCTTTCGGTGGAGACCCAGAAAACGTTACTATATTTGGCGAAAGTGCTGGGGGAGCATCTGTTTCTTTTCATGTTATTTCCCCTATGTCTAAAGGATTATTCAGTAAGGCCATAATACAGAGTGGATCTTCCTTATCTCCTTGGGGTCTGCAATATCGACCTGTGTACATGGCAAGTTTGCTCGCAAGAGCATTGGGTCATCATAAAGTTAGCGAACCTTATGACATTTATAATACTTTCATGAACAAATCAGAAGCAGAGCTTGTTATAGCTAGAGTGCCAAGAAAAGAAGGAAATTTAATACTCTCAGAGGTATTATACGTGCCTTGTGTGGAGCGGAAAATAGATGGCGTTGAACCATTTTTAACTGCATTACCTTATGATATATTAGGACAAGGAGATTTTAACAAAATCCCTTTGATGATTGGTGTGAATGGTGAAGAAGGATACCTTTTTGCTGCTCTTGAAAATGATACAGTTATACCAAAGATAAGCTTCGAGAAATCGCTACCGAAAGATTTGATCATACCTTCCACGGAAGAAGCAAAAGCAATTGCAGAGAAGTTGAATAACATCTACATGGGTGAAGATGAGATTTCACAAGAGTCACTACTAAAATTATCGAAATATCATGGGGACGTTTATTTTAATAATCCGTCATTTATAGAGACTGAATTAATCTTACGAAATACGGATAAACCTGTATATAATTACTTGTTTAACTACGACGGTTGGAGGAATATACCAAAATTTACTTTAGGAAAACCGTTTGCATTTGCCCCTGGAGCCACGCATGCCGATGAACTGTTCTACTTGTTTAGTCTTTGTTTGATACCACCGAAACTCTTCGAAGACCAAATGATTGAAAGAATAACTACTTTGTGGACAAATTTTGCTAAGTATGGGTAAGTGGAACAGAGCCTTATTTTACCATAAATCATTATTAATTATACGCGATTTTATAATAAAACCGTGGTGAAATTTTCTTACATTGTGCAACATGTTTAGGCTACTTCATCTCTTATAATTCCAAAATTTATTTTCAGGAATCCAACTCCAGGAAAGTCAAGTGAATTACTGCCAATCAAATGGACACCCACACAGCAGCCGAATCCTCATATGTTGGTCCTCGACACAGATATTTCCCTACGACCTTTATGGCACACAGATTCTGTCAAATACCTGAGGGAACTTTACACTAAGTATCGTCGAACACAGCATAGGGACTTTAGAGATTAGAATTTGAGTTAGTAGTTATTATGAACAGATGTCTCGCTTGTTTGATTTATAGTCGATATCCAAGGTTATATTGCGGATTCTAATGGACTGAATGTGGTGAAGGTTGTGTCTATTTTTACAAAGCGTTGTGATATAATATATCTATTGGTGAATTTGCCAGTTTGAAATAAACGTTGTTACATAGAGATATTTCAAGCTTTATTGCAATGTTAGATGAATCACCTTACAAATAATCTCAGTAAAGAGTATTAAAAAAATCGACCTCAAAAGCCATTGATCCCCAAGTTTGCCACCCTTAGCGGTGGAATATTTTCTTGAAATTTAAATGGAACCCCTACTGAGGTGCCCTCTTTCCAACAAAAATAGAATCACCAAAATTGGTCCACAAATGCAACAAAACATAAAACATACGTGCAAAAAAACATTATAACTGCCTCCGAGGCCGAACGGTTACCATGCCGGACTGCCACGCAGAGGTCCCAGGTTCGATTCCCGGGCCGGGAGAAATATTTGTATGGCCTACATTTATTTCTCTCGTGAGTTTGGGCGAAATTTGTGGTTGTCTATGTGTGTGTCCATGGCACCCGCGACACAGGGTTTCCCTAGTGCGGGGCTATGTTGAGTGTGAGCGTTATTATGTGAGCGTTATTACAAAAAAACATTCCGAATTGAGAACCTCCTCCTTTTTTTGAAATCGGTTAAAAAGCCTTTGATTAGACTTACCTGCTCGTTTTTTAATCATAGGCTGATTGTGATTGAAATAACGGTTATATAAATTGCCTCTGTGGCCGTACGGTTCTAGTTGGCGAAATATGATTTGCACCGATTCTTGTTGTCTTATCTTTTTGTATCTTATCCTCGTCTAGCCTCATCTTTAGAATACAATATGCCATCTGTATAGTGCAAAGAACTAATTTAAACACTTTTACGCATTGGCACTTAATTCTAAACTTGATAATCTTTATGCGGAACTAACTTTGTAGAATTAGTAAGAAAAGAGTCGGCAGTCGGTATTTTACTGGTACGAAATACTTACTGGTTTAAAAAACGGCCTGAATAGTAAAGAAATAATTCAAAACTAGAATTCGTAAAAGCATGTAGCGCATCCATGACTCATAAGAAGGATCAATATCATTGATCCAAATATGCTTCGAGTAGAAGAAGTGTTAATGGTTTTATTACTGTAGTGTAATATAACGAATAAGCCGTTCCAAGAGATAACATTCATCGGTGCAAATAATATTTATTCAACTATACCATGCTGGTCTGCCACAAAGAGGTCCCGAGTTCGATTCCCCGGCTGGGGGAAATATTTTTATGGCATACATTTATTTCTATGTGTTCTATGTGTTTGTCCATGGCACCCGCGATACAGGGTTTCCTTAGTGTGGGGCTTTGATTGTGTACTTTATTTATTTATTTTATTACTTTTATGCCGTTTTGTGTGGTATTTGAATGATTATGAATAAAAACTTGCTGTATTTTTGCACTAACAAAATCGCCTATAAAAATCGTAAAGGTATTTAATTGTAGTCAATAAAACTAGTACAAAAAACCTTGATACGTACAAAACTTAAGTAATATTAATTTTTTAAATTGAACTGATATTTAATTATTTTTTGTGAAAATACTCCACTACTTTGTTGTAATTGTTAAGATTACGATTAGTATTAATATTACGAACACTTAAAAAATCATTCGATCCGGTCGGATTCGAACCGTCGACGTCTCCTAGCAAACCGTGCCAGAGGTATGCCAACTAAGCCAACGGAACGAATCAGCGGACTTCACAAAGCGCTTGTTGTCGGATCTTTGTATTAGGTTTTTCAACGACTCTAAAGTACGAGGCGATACAAGCAAGAATAAGAGACAACTCAGGCGCACAATTACGTAGGACTATTGCTGTTATTTCATCTGGCCCACTTAGCTTTATTCACGTCTAGATTCCGCAGAGTTCTGAGTACCTATTTTAGTCGTCTGTGAAATGGTGCGAAATTGCACTGAGGTGTATTGGTGGTAGGTTTCCCGTGGTATCCAGGCGCAAATTCTTATCAAAGAGTAAAGTGAAAAGGTTCTCTTTCTTCACCGCAGTATGGGCCAGTGAGCCGTCCGGCTTGAGCAGAGCTGATAGGGAAGGTAGTCTTGACCACTTTATCAGAAAGATTAGAAAGAGGCAAGCTTTTCGTTCATGCGGCTGGCATGGTCAATCTTGGTCCCGCTTATTAAGCTTTTATATTAATGGCAACTCCCGAATACGAAACACGGAAAAACCGCTTGGCGACTCGATGGTGGTAACTAGGCCCGGCTGAAACCTACTACCAATAAAGTCGTTACCCGTTTAGCACCATCCAAAGGTCACCTGAAGGATCTCGGGGGTAAACCTAGGGATGCGAGCAACATCAACCCCCAAAATCAATATGGACACATACGTAGATATACATTAAGTAAATGAATAGAACGCATTCAATAAAATACCAAGAATTATTTGGAACTCATATTGACAAACGCTATTTTAGTTTGAGAAATAAAACAAGCTGTTTTAAGGAATCCGGTTAAATAAAATTTGAGCCAGCCGAACAGCGCAAACAAGCAACAAAATTGACAAAATTCTTGGGAGATAATGAAAATATACTCTGCAAGACCCGGAATTGATAATGATGTCCTGTGAGAAGGAGGTGTAGAATTGTTTTATGAACCACAACAGATGGAAGATTTTTGCGAAATTGATATCACGAAAGTCATTTATCGGCGATCCCGGCGGCGACGTGTTTTACTTGTTTAAAACATTTATGGTGTCATCGCTTTTGTGTGTACTATGATAGATCGGATGACAACGTTGAGGACTAATTTTGTTAAGTACGGTTGGTTGCAGGTTCCAGAATTCATTAGCTCCATGAGCAACGAAAAATTGCTTGAAATCTCCTAAGTTTCTTCTGTATTCTACTACCTAATAATATTTCAGAAACACGAGCCCGAAAGACAATCATTGAGGTATTACGGGATCTGCACATACATTAAGAGGGAGCAGAAGAAAAATTATAATCTTCGATTTGATTTTAGAGGGGAAATCCACTTTAAAGTTAAAAATAAAATATTGTACGAGTAACTACACGTACACGATATATTCAAGCACAGACGTTAATCAGAAACATAAAACAATAAAGTTTCCTTGATAGATAAAAGTCACGAAATAACCTCTAATTTTCACATTTTTTCGATTTATTCTCGAAATGCTACGGGTTATGTGGTTAAAGGATATTTATTTATCTTAAGAATATAAATTCACTTACAGAGAAAATTTAAGATCTCACTTCAAAACTTAATAGTAAAGCACACTAAAATCTATACAACCATCACCATTCACTGCGTATTACGAAAAATAATGTAGGTAGACAAAAACTAAAATCATACGTTTTGAGTTGAATTAATCTGCAATTAGTTCCGATGAAGGTAGATTTGTTATTAGGACAAAAATTAGATAATTAAAGATATTTACGCATGATCGACTACTGTTGTTACGGATTTTTTTAATCCCTTTAGTTTTAGAGTTATTCCGCTACAACGAATTTGGCACTTACGACATTTTTAATGCGCAAAAGACAACATCTCCTGTCGCATGTCACGGGAACTTCAAGCATATATTTGTTTTACAAATTAGTCACTATCGCTCCGTTGAAACGAGAGGACGTTAACAAAATTTGCGGCTGAGCTGTTTAATCGTCATCGCAAATTATCAATATTGATGACTAATTGTCGAAGGTAAGTTTGTGAATTACCTACCTATGTTTAACGGTAAAATAAAAAATATTATTTTCATGTGCATAAGCGCACTTAGAACTTACGATTTTTTGATTTCATCAGTAACAGGATTGAAAATTCACCGGTATGAGAGTGAATGTCGTGCAGATGATTTTAGTTCTTATCATGTGCTAAATAACATTTGAATAAGTTTATTCCCGCTATCGCGGGCCACATGATTGATATGACTATACCATTTACATGTTTTACATTACATATTATAAACATATAATATTTGTAGAAATGACGGTATGATTTTCATCTAATTGATTGTTAGGTTACCTCTGCAAAACACACACACAAAATCCAGAAAGGACTTAGTACAGACAGAGAATAAATAGTTGATATCGTTGTTATTTTTTTTATTACGAGGACTGATTTTGATATTGAACAAAATAATTACACGTAATGGTAGGTATTTTACATTAGAGCAAAAGAAATTTAAATTAAATAAATAAAATTTTAAATTTAAAGAGATTTAACACATTCACAACACAATTATTGTATTGGTTTTTGTCTTTGACACGACAAAAAGAAGATTACAGCAATCTGTTTATTTTCGTGTTTATTCTATTTGCCAAACAAATACGAGTATAATAGGTATCGCACTTTATGAAATTTCATTACAGACACACATTTTGTGTGGAACAGAAAAAAACTGTGGAGTCGCCAATAGAACTAATAAATTTACAACCGGTTCCAGTACAGTAAGTAAGTACAGAGTGATAAAAAAACCACTGACCATTTTAAAGGAGCACACTGCATAATGGAAATAAAAAATACATGTTCGGTTACAATTATTAATACAAAGATGGAACACTCAAAAAAAATTCCTTCGATCCGGCCGGATTCGAATCGACGTCTTCTAGCTTACCGTGCCAGACGCTATACCAACTAAGCTACGGAACGAACCAGCGGATCTCATGAATTTTTCTATGTGCTTGCGACGTGTCTTTGTATTTGGTTTTTTCAACGACTTTTTAGTCGTAGCGCCATGTATGGAGTAATTTCACAAAAAATAATTGAATATCAATTCAATAAAAATTTAAAAAATATGTTCGGTTTTTTTTTCAAATATCTAACACATCAATAACTTATGACGTCTCAAAGCTTTATATCTTAAATTTTCGTAAATTTCGTGGAAAATTTCTAGAAATTCACAGTTCCCAGAATATATCAGAAATAAAGCATAAATCATACTGTCATTTTTACAAATATTATATATTTATAATATGTAATGTAAAACATGTAAATGGTATCGTCATAGCAATCGAGTGGCCCGCGAAAGCGGGAATAAACTAATTTAAATGTTATTCTGCACATAATGAGAACTAAAATCGTCTGCACGACCTTCTCTCTTATACCGGTGAATTTTCAATCCTATTCCTGATGACATCAAAATTCGTAAGTTCCAAGTGCGCTTATGCACATGAAAATAATATTTTTTATTTTACCGTTCAACATAGGTAGATAATTCACAAACTTACCTTCGACAATTGGCCATCACTTTAATGTTGAACT